AGGACTTCTTGGAGAACTGAAGTTACATCTATATTAGCACTTTAACTTAGATAAGGAGTACTAATCTGAAGTGAATCCTTATCATCCCCACTTACCATACTTCAGTTTGCATCACAAAGTGGTTTTGGATAAAACAAAGATTTGTTTTGGTTGAACCTAAAACTGAAAAAGTGGTTCTGGCAGTGCATCTCACCTACTGTAACTGCTAAAGTGAGTTCATTCCACAGGACACAAGTGGACTTTACATTACGCTCTCCCCCTTCCAAAAAACATACAGTGTGGACATGAAAGTATTAGCATCCATTCCCAGTATAGTCTCTCTTATTGTGCTCCGCTTCTTGATAATGTAACCTAGGTTACTGCCTTGAGTAAGTAAGAGTGGCCAACATGTAATTTTAATTGTCTTGGTAAGAACATACAACCTTATCACTAGCACAAAATTTCCAAAGCATCTAGATACTTCTAAAATAAGGATTCTTGGAAGTTCACAAATACCATGCATTGAACGTGCTATGCCAAAAAGTTAATCTGTATTGCAGGCCTCGTGGACACTACAAAAGCCCCACAAATCCTTAAGCAATACGGTCTATTACACTGTATGCTTTTAAAATATGCTTTTAAAATATACAGTTTAGAATGCATACATAGTAGTGTAAATACTGAAGGAATTTACCTATTTAGCCAAAGACTGCACCTAGACTAGGCAATGAAATAACCTAGATTTGCAACAAAATTCCTCATTGGATCATCAGAAAAGGTTGGTTAAGTTGGTTGGAAGTGAAATAGGAGGACCTCAACTATCATTGTGACATAGGAGCTCCTGTGATTCAGGAGCAAAATGGACAAAGGAAGTTCAGGAGATAGTACTTGTATCAAATTTAAAGACCACTGTGGCAGACTTTCTGCTCACATGAGGTTTTCCTGCTAGTTCTGTTATGTTTGAGAGGTTTTTTTTCCCGATTTTCCAATTAACAGCAAGCAAAGTTAGTTTTCAAGGTGTTTTTTAAAACAAAACAACAACAAAATAACCACAAACAAACAAACAAAAAACCCCAAATGCAATGGCTTGAATTCCAAGTGTTACTGGCCCAAACTTTTACAAGTGCCTACCTTTTTCAGATGTCCCAATTTTTATATCCTAAACGAGCATTACTTAATTTTCAGAAAGTATTAATTTTAAGGATGAACATTTCAGCAATATTGGCTAGTATTTCAAGTTCCTTAAAACACACATTACCAGTCTGGGAAAGTGGATGTGCATAAAAACGAATACAGCTGCTCTACCAGCTGTTATCTCAACCTTCAACTGCCAAAGGCATATCTAGCAGCAGAGGAATAGATCGAGTACTCACTAGTCTTGCTGAGGTAGTTATCACTCCATCGAGAACACTGAAACTAGCTTCAACATCACTGAATTATAACAGTTTTCCCTTTCTAGAACACAAGAATATTCTGGAACAGACAGCTTAGCTTATAAACTGTTGGTCTCCTTAGTGATCTTAGATGCTTATTATTATTACCTAAATGTTCTCAAACAAATTATTTGCTCATGCATTTTAGGAATCAGCTTAATTTTGTCCAGCCATTGTAAAGTCATCTAATAGCTATATTCACTCCCTGACTTAAGACATCAAAGACATGCTACTTACACGCAAGCCGAAGTAGAGTAGGAAGAACACATTGAAAGCCATGTCGATCTGTAATGTGAAATCTTTGTAGAAATTCTGGCAGGATTCTATTGGACTATTTGAAAGAAAAAGAAATCAGGGTAAAATGTCAGTATACAAGTTTCGACTCTTGTGAGATTTTTCTGCATTTCATTAAAGACCTTGATTCAGAAATCACATTTCTGTTTTCCAGTCTTTTACAAGATACAAGCAAGCATTTCAAATGAATTATTTCATTCATTCTGTTAGTCATTCATACAGTCTTTATATTCACCTGGTCAGGTAATATCAGAGTATTAACATGCAGATACCTTTAAGAAAGGACAAGCGGGATAATACCTCAGGATTCCTTAACCCCTCATTAACCCTTAAAGAACTGACTTCTTCCTATAGGAGACATACCTATAATACTTTAGGAGGAAACCTAACAAGCACACAGCCACAGCTAAACATTACATCGTTTTAATTCATGTCATAATATAGCACCTTAAAAAAAGTAGTTGCTTAGGAATACATTACCCATTAGCAACCTGCGGTATTTAGTCTTGTAGAATCCCTTGTTTATAAGAAGTTGGGTTTGGGTGGGGTTTTTTCTCCTTTTTCTCACTTCTTTTTTATGTATGGCTATTTATTGTACTTTATTTACAATACTACGAACTGAGTAGAAAAGCAGCATAGCCCACTGGTAAAATTAAGTAACAAAATAAATTGAGGTATTTGAAGCAGTACTCTAAGGGTTAATTTCTGCATGCAGATTAATTAAAATACCTTTGTGTATGTCAGGCAGCCATTGCAAATTCTAGTTTAATATATTATGCTTTATTTAACAGTGGGACAGGTCCAAAGCATACTCTATACAAACTGGTACTTTATAAATATACCTTTATCTAAGGAAAGAGATAACTTTCATGAGTATGATTAGTGATTTATTTGTGAGGTCTCTGAAGTAGGTTGATGAAGCCACAGGACAATGTTGAAATCACAGACCAAAGTGAAAATCATGTTCCAATATATGCTGATGTATATATTATATATACATAATGTCCCACCATATATACATATAGATACATATATTGCAAATGATCATGTATTAATCATGACTGTAATAAAGTGGAAAGCTAGAACCTAGATCATTTGGAGCCCCAGAAATCATCCTTTGAGGAAAGAAATTCTTTGGCTTCCCAGGTCAAATAAATCACTGAATGTGAGCATCATACCAGTTAGTATAGAAGTAGCTCTGCAAAATATAATGCTAGACTGCTCAACAAGCAAGATTCTATGCATTATGAATGTTGGTTACCTAATTTAAGGCATAAGGGAAATTACCTGGGCTACCAGGTCATTACACATGCAGCCAAATTTTCCATTCCTTGTATACGTTACAGGTCAAACAAGTTAAGTACAGCATGCCCTCTCCTGCCTTTAGATGCATGAATGTATACAGCAAAATTCTCCTTGATGAACAATAGCTTTATCTTTTAAGAAGCTTCAATGCTATGGGAAATTATATTTAAATGTTTTTTAAAAAACTATTTGTAAAGACATTGAAGTTATGAAACATTTCTGTTAAAGTTCAAATAAAATTTCACAAAAACAGGCAGAAGGGAACAGAAGCATATGTTAGCATATGAGGACGGAAAACAGCACCTCATACTTTACAAATACAGCTTTAGCTATAAAAACAGTGGATGTAGTCTGAGAACCCAACAGGATCATTTTCTGTATGGCATTATTGAGAGCAAAGAATTTTGTCAAAATAAGTTAGGCTACACACTGAGTCACTATGCACCCTATCGACAGAAATCACAAGAAGTAAAGCAGAAGCAGAATGAACAACCCTGCATCAACACAGAGACTTGGACCCACCGAAGCTAATGGAATCGCACAGATTTCTAACTAGGACAGAGCACGCTACATTATCTTCCTTTCCACAGTTATTTGGTGTTTGTTATGATTGTTAGATAAGGTTAGTGACTGTACTTTTGTACCATTGTCCTTTACAAAAGCCTAGAGATCTGACAAATTAGTTAATACATAATACATCTTCATTTTGTTTGCAAAACACTTAGCACAGTGGAACACAATCCTGATTTAGACTTTTGTTTACTTAATATTAGAAATTCTGCTGATCATATCCCTAAAGTACCCTTCATTTCAGAGATATCTCTCTCCTTCAATTTCTAAGTTAATCAGTTTCAAAGACAAACACTATGTCCTTTCCTTTTTATTTTAAATTATTATTTTGTCAGAAAGGCATGTCACTGAGACTAAAGAAATTATTATTTATTCATCCCACCATGTTTCTGTGATGACAACTATATTATAGTTTTCCCACTGCCCAATGGCTTCCAGCTCCTTCTCTTTGTTGCCTCTTTGTTCTGGCTGGGTAGTCCCCGTGGTGAAGACTCCCACCATGACATCTGCCTTATTGGCCT